GGAATGCCACCATCATTCACCATGACATCCTCATGAAGTGTAATGTATATTAAAGCTTGACGCCACTCCATCGCATACATTTGAAGGGAAGGAAATTAAAACAGCAGCAGCTGACAGACATCCATTAGAGGTGCAAAGAGGGGTGCCCCAAATAGCTAACGCTAATATCTGCCTGTTCTGTTGTCCTGCTTTAGATTCATCAACAATATATATTCACTAGCACATGCTCGGAGAGCGTCATTCATCAAACCAAACTCTCCCGCCCGCCTCGATGACATTGTAGCGACATTAGCACAGTAATTTAGACGTAATGGCCGTACATTATCTATCCTAAAGTGAAAGCGTACACGCTGATTCACTTACGCCCACGTAAACACATCCTATGCACCAATTAATTCTCACCCATAATTAATAGTCAAAAACAAATTTGATTCCAACTGGTGTCAGGCTGTTTTTTGTCCATGTGTGACTTTTCATTCTGTTTCGGCCATAATAAATCTTGCATTATATCGATCCATAGCGCCTCTATAGTGATTTGTGACTCTAATCCCGAGGACCCGCCGCAGAAACACTCCAGTTCCTCTGCTCATCAAGAGGTATTAGGGACCTTGAGATAGCATCAAACTCTCACTAACCGCTTGCGGTGCTGAAGGACAGACGATGTCCCCAAGCCGCAAACCTTGACTGTGGTGCCGTTGATCTATTATGTGCATGACAATGATCAATTTTGGCAGATAAGACTAATGTCTTGCATTTAGGAGAGTATTCATAACACTCATACACATTTATCTTAAAATGCTAATGTGTAATGGGATAATTTTAAGGACAGTGGGACTGTGAACATGTTTAATTTGTTGTTATATACAATAGATATGGTTTGACCTGAATAATTTTCAAAGATTACAAAAAAACAATTATATTCAGTTAATGGCTTGAAGTGTTACAAAGTTATTATTGTGAATTATTTTTTGCAGATACAAATTTCACACATACTACATCTGTGCAAAACCCACCAGTGCTGTCTAGAATTGAGATACCACCACTTGGACTGGCTTAATATGCAAACTTTTTACCCCATCATCTCTCTGTAATTAATTAATCATTGTTAGGGCTTGATGTGCAAATTATGGCATAAAGCTCAACCTCCGCAGCTTCTAAAATCTGCCTTTATGTTAGGAAGCGTTCAGAAAGTTTATGTAACACTTCTGATATGCTGGTTTCAGCTGTAACAAAAAAGTTCTCTCAGCCCTCAAACTTTTCAGATTGTGTGATTTTGAGGAGACGTGTAAAGTGTTCTGGTTGAGAGAGAGCGTGAAAAAAGATGGATGGGAAGAGAGAAATTACTGCCTTCGGACTATTATGAGACCTCTGTCAGTTTGATTGGATTACAGAATTTGGAGAGGTTCAGGTCAGTCAAGAGAAAAAGAGAACGGGAAAGGATGGAAAGTACATTTGCTAAAAATAAGAGAAATGTATTTAAACACCTTGTATAGCCTAGAGACGCTAGAGCAGCTGTGTAGTACTTATGTATTTATTTATTCATCCATCCATCCCAGTATTTGAGTCTTTTCAATAAAAAAAACAAAAAACAAACACACACACACACACACACACACAGTATGTCTATTAGAAATGTAATAGTCTTTCTTATTTCAGAGTAAGAAAAATGATGTGTATTAAACGTCTTGGATACATTTTGCATAAAAATGTTCCATATGAAAATGCTTTGTTGTGTTTCTATTGGCCTTGAGATAAATTTGAAGAGTTGAGAGGTTGTGCGGTAAACCTTTATATGGAGATGTCTTATGCTAATCACCAACAGCAGGCACACGCCCCCCTCATTTAGAATAATTCATCAATAAAGAAAGAGGATGAAAAATTTCTATGGAAGCTTGCTTCCACCACAGGATAAAAATAAAGGTTATTGCAACTTTTTCTCACAATTCAGACAGAATTTAAAGAAGAAAGTCAGAATTATGAGATATAAACTCAGAATTCTAACTTTTTTTGCAAGAAAAATAGAATTATGAGATATAAAATTGTGAATATATTCAAAATTAAATCTTTTTGAATAGAAACGAATTTCTATACATTTTTCCCTTTGTGAAGCTGACAGAAATTGAAATGAAAACTATCTCTGTGTGAATAAGCAGAAAGCAATTATTAGTAAATGAAAAAAAGGAAAGGTGAAATTGCTGATTTATCAAGATATGAAAAAAATACAATAGGATTTTGCTAGCAGAATTTCTTCAGGCACTATTTAGTGTCTGCTGCCTGTTTTAGTGTTCGAGTTCAGTCTGTTCCCTCTGGCTATAAAGGGAACTTTAAATTTCCTTCTCTCATGGCTTGCCGACTAAAACAGGGTCCTATTTCAGTGGATTTATTTGCTGTCTGAGCTCTGGATATTGTGTTCTGAGTGAGAGAGCTGTAGTTTGGTTCATTTTTGGATCTGATCCAGCACAATATCGAAAGCCTTCCACTTCATCCGCTCTATCTGAATGCAGACCTTTCGCTCTGGGCCACAAACACCAATTGGAAATGTGCAGCTGCAGAACGATTTAGAGGGGCTGATAAAGCACTGGTCAGTTTAAAGTATTGGGAGTGCTGGCACTAAGGAATCTGATAAATGGCAATAAAATGGAAATCCAGATTGAGAGGAGGAACTGATATCATCAGCCACAAAGGTGCAGGAAGGTCGATTGAAGGATATTTGTGCTGCTGGTTATTGCCTATGTTGCCATTTTTTGTGTTTGCATGCGCTGTATGTGTTTTTGCACAGTGTCATTCTTGTGTTCTGTTTGGGACTTTTTTTGCCAGTATCCGTAACAAAAAAGGGTGGTTTTGCCAGTGTCTAACTGATTTAATTATTCATAGTAATGTGTTAGAGGAAACAATGCATTATTTATTAGGCTGACATGGACAATGAGCAAATTAAGACCAGGGGGAGAACAGGACAACATTGCAAACAAATTAAACCAGGAAAGCCAACTAACAAAATGATTGCAAAGCGATAATCTAATATCGCAAAATGTTGCTGCATAGCACAATAAAGTGTAGCTGTTTGTGGAGTTATTATATTGTGATATTATAGTGATCGTCAATCCCAGTTGCTGATAATTTTAGTCTTTTCTCCCGGTTTCTTCAGTTCTCCGGGATGATTTCCGACAGACCCCCAGCGACGTAGTGGTGGCAGCAGGGGAGCCGGCCGTGATGGAGTGCATCCCTCCACGAGGCCACCCAGAACCCACTATCTCCTGGAAGAGGAACAATGTGAAAGTGAACGACAAGGACGAGAGGATAACGGTGAATGTCCTCATTTCTCTCATCTCTTTTTCTTTCTTTCTATACATTTTCAAATAGGCCTACGTGTCAAATAAATACCATTCTTGTTCTATTCATCAAAGAATCCTAAAAAAATATACATCATGGTTTCCACAAAAATATTAAGAAGCACAATGTTTTCAACATTGGTGATAATAATGATAAGAAATGTTTCTTGAGCACAGAGTCATCATATCTGAAGGATCATGTGACACTGAAGACTTCAAATATTAAAGAGTAAAGATAAAATTTTTATTGACTCTAGAATGAATCTCAATTTCAATGTACTTTATTATTTGTTTCCATCTAATATTGACAAAGCGTGGAAACAAATCAGTTTTGAATAGAAGCAAAAACATATGTATGGTAACATTTTGAAAAACAAAGGAAGAAGTTCAGAGAGGACATTAGTCTTAATAACTCAAACAAACATGCACAAGCTAACAAATAGGAATTTATATATATATATATATATATATACGCATGTGATTAATTTTACAATCCTTAACACGTTAAAATAATTTGACACAAAATTACTGAAGCACAATTTCTATTCTAACCCCTTAACCCAATTTTGCGATTGGTTTAGGTTTTTTTTGGCATCTCCATGTGGTCCTGTTCTGTATCGCAACTTGGATTCTCTAAAATGTAAAAAAAAAAAGCTCTTTGCTGTTGCACTGTACACATACTATAACATTCTGATTTTTTTTTCTTTCATATGTGCTTATATGGGCTCCTTTATATCATTTGGTTCTTTGGTGTCCTTTTGGAGTTTCTAAGTGTCCTTTTTTGGAAAGTCATCTAAATTTATCTTGAAAAAAAGCTTGCAGAAAATATAGATGTTTGAGAATCACCCTTCAGTCTTTTGGTTTACTTTTCTGGATGTAGCAAATGATTACAAAATAAACATTTGAAAGAAGATAAATGGTCTATGCTTAATTTCATGAAGTGTGTGATTAATCGCGATTAATCACAGAAAAAGGATGTGATT